AATTACAGAAACTAAAAACAGAAAAAAGAAAAAAAACTTTTTTACTTAAAATATGTTGACTGGAATAAAATATTTGTTTTCAACTAGTTGACAAGGCAAAAAGTCTCATTTTAATTTAGTTTAACTTGATGTAAACTAAAATTTAAATAAAATTTAATAAAAAACTACAATATATAGACATTAAAAAACTACTAAAATTACAAAAACACACAAAAAATTTCAAACTTTAACTAAAATGAAAATGGAAAAATTAAATTATAAAAATACCAAAAAATTCTAATTATAAATAAAATCTCTGCCAGTGTGAAAATGTATTAACTGTTGGCAGTTTGATCAAGTAATGAGTCAAGATACAATCTGGTTCATCAGTTAAATATTGCATTTTCTTATACAGTATTCTGCAGTGTGCTCTGGGTGTATATACGGCCCATTTTGCGCTATATCGTACATGCAAAAATGTTGCATACTTTCCACATATGCTGCATACTGCTAAAACAATGTGAGAAGTACACTGTTCTGAACATTTAAGATGTCAACAAGTCTTTCTATTTGATGCTAGCATAAAAACTAAAGAAATCTAAACCATGTCCAAGTGCAACTTTTCATTCTAGTCAAGTACATTCAGGTGTTGCTGAATAAAATGGATGTCAACAGTGATCTGGTCTGAACAGCTGCACTGCAAACCAGTTATACGGTGTGTTCTAGGGTCTGTGTTCCCATGAGTAATCTTTGATATAAGCACCTACGTCCCATAAATCTCAGGGAGTCTAGACAGACAGGTCTGAGTCGCATATGGACCCGTAGTGCAGATGGCCTGGTGCTGATGGATAACTTCCAGGCTCTTTTTTTTAGTGTGAGAATCACTCATTCGCTTTGGTAAGCGGCCACTGAAGACGAGAGAATTCATGTCTGGTGTATCCGTCTCACTGTCAAACTTCTCACTTACTTAAGGGAAAGTGTCACGTAGGGGCAGTGCTCTGATGGTATCCTCATCACTGAAAACGTTCTGGAAGTATTCAGCAGGTCAGTGAAATTGGAGATTTCTGGAGGTTGCCTTAATGAGGAAAGCATTGATTCACAGGACAATAAAGTATATTTCCATGTAGAATTATTCAGATATAACTGCTTGCAACAATATCACAGTATCAGTTCTATATCAAACAATATTTTATTAGTAGTAGTAGTATTTGAATTATATATAATTGGTTTAGAATTAGGTGCTTTTTCATGGATGAAATGCAACTGGTGTTTGCCTTTTAGGATTACGACTTCGAACATATTTTCTGTGTGCAAAATGCATTAAAGTGTAACTGCATTTTGTCATGCATTTCGTGTCACATAATTCATTCA